GACTGTGTGGGGTACAGAGCACCCCTTAAATTTCTTGCCCTAAGGATATTAAAGTTTGCAGGATCTCCATTCCACAAGTTATACACCAGCTCCTAAAACATTGTCTCCTGACTAGTGATGTCCAGCCAATTCCAGCCAATCAGCAGCAGACCCTCCCACCTCCTGGACAGCTCACTAAGAATGCAGCTTCACAATGGATGCTGTCCAGGAGGTGGGAGGGTCTGGGAGGGAGGGTCTGCTGCTGATTGGCTGGAATGTGTCTGCTGACTGTGAGGTACAGGGTCAAAGTTTACTCAATGATGAGTCCGTGGCGAACCGTTCGCGAACCGTTCGGGACATCACTACTCCTGACCCTGTCCCCAAAGCACACCAATAGTCCAGAGTTTAGGCATTTCCCGTTCCTACTGAGTTTCTGACAAAACATGGACAACTGGTGTGCTCTGAGCGCATGGTTTAGATCCACTCTTCTTGGGGGACTTGCAGTCTAATGAAAACAATCTTGTTATTTTAACTAACTTTAAAACCTTACTCCGTACCCGGACACTGTTGAGATCAAAGCACATATTCTGTGTACTTATAGTATGTGAATAAAATGTCACACACACCTCAGGTTTAAGATGTAATACAGTGTTAGTGGGTACCACAGTGTTGGCCAGTCTGCCAAGTTATGCCACCACTCCCTTAATGATGGATGGTGGAACCAGCGCCTGACTGTCCTGTTTATGACTGCATCTGCCATTAAATTAATTTTAGGATATTTTAATAATTCCTCTTTCTTGAACTTGGAGGGTTTTTTTAATTATTTTTTTTTTTTTTTTTTAAACACTCTTGTTCGTGACATCCCATGATAATTCACCTGACCACTTTTGTGTATTTTTAAATGTTTCTAATTTTTATACTTTTGGTGCAAAGCAGCAGTTAATTCACTCACCTTCTGCCAACGATCATAATAATGAGTTCCAGAGTGAATATGTATTTGTAAATATCTTATGTTTCATAAATTAATACGTTAATTGTTTTAAAAGTTTACTTTATAAATCCATTGTATCTTGCTCTTGCTGTCACTTGCATTAAGACTTTTGTCTCTTCTGTACCAGTTCTAAGTTCTCATCAACAGCAACATAATACACTTCTCATGGAAAAAAGGGGAGAATTGTAAGGAATTTGAAGTGAATTGTAAAGCAAATATGTGACATCTCCCGTTAGGGACCGGTGGCCATGGGGTGCAGTCAAAGGTCTTTCAGACCTTAACAAAGGGGTCCTCAAACTCCGGCCCCCCAGATGTTGCTGAACTACAACTCCCATGATTCTTTGAATTACATAGATAGTCAGAGAATCATGGGAGTTGTAGTTCAGCAACATCTGGGGGACCGGAGTTTGAGGACCCCTGCCTCTTCTGCTCCTGTCGTTTCATCTTTCATTAGCTTCACACATGTGCGAGAGTACAACTTTGAGCTCTGGAGAATCCTGCGAGACCGCAGGAGCCTCTAGATCTTGAGATGAGCAAGACAATGCCTGAATCCCACACTAATCACATTAAAGAGGCTGGAAATGGAAAATAGTTGATGCAGAGCTCTGCTTTTTGCCAACCTAAGGCTTTCCCATAAGACCAAGCAGTCTCTAGTTTGTCTAATGGAACCTTTGAATTGCGTTGGAACTTCTATGAGATTCCAATGCAGTCCGCATTATTTTTGGCATTTATTCAGCGCGAATGTATTCTGCAGCCCTTTACAACAATACGACAAAGAGACAAACTATTACAAATTTAAATTCTATCTGTTTCATAAATAATCTTGTAAAACGCCTACACATTGTGTTTGCTGAATTGGTTGCATATGCATAGAAGACAAATGAGTAAAATGCCTACCTTTTATTCTAACAGTATAATGATAGGGTCAATGATTATAGATCTGGCTTTCTGTACAGCCTCATGGACACCAAATGATACAGCACCTTCTCACATTTGTGTCCATCATTTACATTCACCGTGAAAGATAAAGAAAAAAACAATCTTCAAAATAGCTTTTTTTTTTTTTTAATTCTTGCGTCCATAATGAATGTCAGATCCACCTTAAAATATGCTATAATTATAAAAGTTGTTTTAATCTAGCATATTGTTATAAACAAAAATATATAATTTGCACATTCTCAAAACAGTCATTATGGGAACCATAGCTAGGTCAGTGTTTAAAGATTACTCTGTTGTGTTCCAGTAGGAATATCTTTAAACCATGGGCTGTCGGTGCCTTCTATTAGTTGGTTTGATAAGCTTTGTGATGGACAGAAAAATATTTGTTTAGAATTTAGTTACTAGTCCAATAAATAGGCCAACAACTTTTGCCGAAGTGCTCATAAAGTGCTTATTTTGTGTGATCTGTGTAGATCTTTTTATGAGCTTTGTTTAATTCAACTATGTTTTATGACTCTGACGCATTCCACTTCAAGTAGAACTTCTACCCATCCTTTCAAGGGTGGACATCGTAAAAATATTTTCTTCTTTCGCAACCTACATATTTTATAGAATTGTAAATAAGCCTAAGGCTGAACTTGATGGATGCAAGTCTCTTTTCAGCTATGTAACTAATGTAGCAAATGCCTACAAAAATTTGGGAGTGACACCATACTAATTAAATAGAACTAATGTGGTGAATATATTAAGATCTGAAAATTCCAATGTACGCCTTTCAAGACCCCCCTGTTCTTAATACTATTAGCCCTGTGCATTCAAAAGACTTATTTTTGTATACTATGAAAGTCTAGGGCTTTGGTCATTTTTTGTATATTTTACTGGTGTAACGTTTATTCATGCATATAATGTAATACTTGAGATTTGTCTAGAATGTATTACTATTTTGTAATGTTCTTTGTCATTAAACCTTTTTTGGTGTTTGTCATTAAAAGAAACAACGTTCTTAAAAGACGCACAATTTGTTGCGGTGCATGGTGAATGGTTTTTAGGGCGGCAGCACTTAAAATCAGATTTAAAAAAAATTGTACCTTTTTTTTTTTTCCCTCAAGATTTAATTTTATTGGTACTTTAGGACAAAGTAAGAAAGTGATACAGATGGGTAATTTAATATTAAGACAAAGGAAGAGTATAGTAGTAATCCATTACAGGTTAGATAAAGTATAATATAGTGTGTACAACGTTATTCCACCATGTTACCTTTTACTCGTGGGCACCAAATTTTATTATAATCAGGTAAGAGAAAATGTAGAACTGGAACAAGGGGCAAAGGTGAAGGAAGGGATTATGTAAAAAAAAGGTGGGAGCATGGGTGCTCAAACTTAGTACCTTAAATGGGGTAAAAATTACAGAACAATGCTATCCATAAATCATTGTTTTTTTAAAATTGGGAATAGTATTCACAACCGTTCTTTCCCAGTGATACAGTACAGAGTGTAATGCCAGTAAATCATAAGGTGAGCTATTGCTTGGTTCCGAATGGTGCCTTTAAGCCTCTTTTTGCGAAAAATGATAGTTTGCTATCATGGGTTCTGCTTTGATGCACAGTTAATACATGTGTTCCAGAATTCTTTTGGTGTTTGAGTTCACCTAGCCAAGGTTTAATTTAGCTTTGTGGTTTCTAGGCTTTTTGCGCAAGTGTCAATTGTGGGCATATTGGTGGATTTTCATAATTTCATAAGAATACTTAGAGCAGCAACAAAAATGTGATAGATCAGATATTTCGGATATATATATTTTTTTAATGCTTTTGGGGATTACCTGGACTAGTATATTTAGGGTTTGTGAGGAAGCTGGATTCCGGAGGTTTTGTAGATCATGACAGCTGTGTCTTGCCAGTACTTGGTGAGCAGTGGACGTTACCACCAGATATGAATCATAGCGCCTCTGTAGGACAGGAAAACAGTATAACTTTATGTGAAATCCCATTTAAATACTGATGGGGTTATTCAAGTGAAGTCAGGAATTCAAAAGTGATTTTCAAAATTTAGACAAAATATATAACTGGATTAATTTGCCACTTCTTTAATGGTTTTTAACTGGACTGTTTGGCCTAAACTCTGAAAATCACTGTAAATTCATGACAATTCACACTTTAGTGAATAACACTGTCAATCAGTACTTATGGTAACGAAAGATTTGTTTCTTCAGAGTCACAGATTTTGACCGCCTATGTCCCCTTTGGCCTTCTATGGCTGCACCACCTGCTTCTGTTGAAAGCTCCGTAAACGTAGCTGAGCTGATCTCTAGGGAGACAGTAGGCTTCTCTTGCAGTAGAAGCTAGACACAGCACGGCACCCTGGGGAACCCAGATAAATTGTAAAACCGTTCTTAAGGCAGCACTGTAACCATATGGAGATCTTGCAGAATTCACAAGACCTTCGACTGTGACATCGCAGCTGGGGTGGGAGGTGTACGATGGTCAGGTAAAAATGAGGTACTTACTCGAACCAGTCCCTCACGTGCCTGGCCACCTTTGTGAAATACACATCTTTCAGTGAAGGTGACAGTGGCACTTTAAGCAGTTTGATAAATTACTTGGGGAGGGTGCCAGAACACCATTGGCACTAACAACGGCTACAATGGGCTGTAGTGGCTATGGCGCTTGAAATGTTGTATTATACATTAAATCTGCCAGAGCTACAATTAGTGCTTTCTGGAGACGAATGGTTCCTACAAGTAACAGGAGTCCCTAGGCAGTGTTGGCTTTCTCAGATGTTTGTGAATAACTTCAATAGGTTTGCTAAGCATCATAGGAATTACCATTGCCAAACAGGGTATTAAACATAGCCATTGCTGCACCATATCATTGAATTAATAGCTGGGTTATAAGTTCTAGGTTTAAATAGCAGAGTTGGATTTCTTCCACAACTTTGCTATTCTGACTTATGTTTTGAAAAACTGAGATTTCACAAATCAGTACAATACAGGAAGTTGACATCCAACAATTTGCATATTTTATAATGAAATGACAAAAAAGGAATAAAATGCTTAATTAGTTACAACTCTTTACTATAGAACATTACAATTTCCAATGTTCAGGATAAATTTACTGTATGATATATTTAAAATTCAAAGCATTTCATTGCAAACAGACATTTCTCTTATTTGTCAGCAGTAGCCTAGTATTCTCTAAAATTAAGTTTGTGGTACCAAAGATTAACATTTTAGCAGCGTACTTTAATTGGTGCCTACACTATATGCAAGTTGGTTTTCTCTGACAGGTATGTGTGCGAATGATAAAAATAAAAACATTTGTCCAATATATCAAAGGAAAACTAGCCTGTTCTATATAAGCCATGCATTGTGACTTCACAAGAACGGCTAGCTGCTGTGTGGAGTTCTGCAGCAAAAATACTTCAAAAGTTTCATGGATGTTATGGTACTTTAATGAGACACTCACAATGCAGTAAACATCTTGGCCAATCAATGAAGTGTCACGTTCACTTTTTTATGCATGTTTAGTTTTTTCCTTTTACTATTTGCATTCTCAGATATTTGTTTCCAATATTTTATTTAAAAAAAAAAAAAGTGATAAGGTGTGCTCTCTCTTTACATAAATGTTTTTGCCACTGTCAGATTGGTGAGTTTTGTGAGACAGGTAAGCAGTCTAAACGTTCTTCCGTTTTCTTTAATGTATAAAAAATATCCTACAACTGGCAAATGCACCTTTTTATATCATCAGAATATAAAGCGCGAAATATCCAGAAACGTGATTTAAAAAAAAAACCAAAAAAAAAACCGGTAAAATAGAGTATTTTGGTTACATTACAGGGAGGTGGCAAAATAAGGCACCAATGTATAATGGGTTGAGAAACCGTTTTATACATAAACCAGTGCATATGTGAACGCGACACTTTTCATACAGATTTCCACAAAGATTCTAAATAACCGCTGTTGAATTCTGTGATTGGCAAAAATTTTCAAAGGAAACTCCTGTTCATAGGAGAGTTGATAAAATAGTATAGTTCAAATTCCTCCCACCTCCTGGACAGCTCACTAAGAATGCAGCTTCACAATGAATGTAAAATGGAGGTGGGAGGGTCTGCTGCTGATTGGCTGGAATGTGTCTGCTGACTGTGAGGTACAGGGTCAAAGTTTACTCGATGACGAATAGGGGGCGGACCAAACAGCGCATATGTTCGCCGTCTGCAGCGAACCGTTCGGGACATCACTAGTTAACACAGTAAAGGAGTTTAAGCATGTGTGAGATAGGCATAAGGCTATCCTAACTATAAGATAAGGCCAGGGACTAATGAAAGTATTTAGAAGATTGGGCAGACTAGATGGGCCAAATGGTTCTTATCTGTCGTCACATTCTATGTTGTCACAATGAGGTGCAATTCCTATTATTTTAGTATTTTTCAAAATGGATAATGAAGAGAAATTCATATGGATTTAGACCATGCTATTTTATTAACTATTCCGTGAACAGAGGAGTCTCCGTTATGTTATAGTGTTCCTGTTGACCATGGTCCTTGCTCTAAAATCAGATGTCTTTTCAGCCAAGAGGATGTACTTAACAGTGGATTGCTGCTTTTGAATTTGCACATACAATAGATTGTGGCTACGTTTATATTTGTTACTGTGATTGGCCCTTTTAAATAAAATCACAAATTTGTATAAAGAGTATTCATACACCAGTGTCCTCCACCTGTTGGCAAACTCCAAATCCTCCATCAGACTTGCAGTGTTTTTGGTTGGTAAGGTTCAAGCCAGGCTCTTTGTAGTCCAGTGTTTGAATACTACTATATAGCCTCCTCATAAACTGTTAAATGAAGATACATTAATAGTGGATTTTCCAGAGATTTTTTTTTTTTTTTTTTTACAACCTTACCACAGAAAACAGTATCTGGTCTCAGCCAGAATGTTGGGAGTGGTAAGGAACACCTGACGCTCATCATTTGTAGCTCCTTTGCTTTCTTAATGTTGCGCGTAGGCTTGCTAACCATTCACAACACTGGTCCTGCACATACGTGTTACAATGTATGGACATCGCCCACTATTGACGCATGTCAGGTTTACTTTCACGCATTTAAATTGATATTGACGGGCACAAGATGTAAGATAAGTGGGAAAACAAAATGTTTTCAAATACACAAAGCACAAACGCCAGTGACTGATCCCAATTTGTTTATTCTTACATAGAAACTGACATTCTGTAATAACCGCAAACAAGCTGACATTGCATCATCACGAGGAAAGCTAACAGGGCCCTGGTCTGTGATGTCCCACTCAACCTGTGGTCTTAACAGGGTTTAATATATTCAGGTCTATGCAAAATGCAGTTCTCCTGCATTAACTAGAATTCCCATCATCCGAGGAGAGAATGATGGGCATTGTCTTTCATCAGTGCCTAGATAGTTGCATTTTGCTTACCAATGATACAGACCAGCAGAACCGAACTCCTGGAACGCCAGCTATTGCAAACGTTTTCTCAGTGCTCAGCTTGCCTCCATATGTACAGGTTTTTATGAGAAGGGAGTGGACTAGTCAGGAATGTTCTGGGCATCCGCAAGAAACCCACACAGACGCTATGGTGGAAATATACAGTGTAACTAACATTTCTGTAGTGAAAGAATCATGATTTTGCTGCTGGAAACAGTCATCAAGAATTACAGGCTATATTTCATAAATAATCCTAAAAATCTGCTTTTATTAAATAATTCTACAGGAGAAGAACATTAAGTTCAGCATTTAGTGTTGGAATCAGAAATTAGTGGTTAGTATGTCTTAAATCGAAATAAAGAAACGTATCCGGTTTTAGATTAAAGACAGAGGGAGAGAGACAGAACAGCACAGGCGAGGTGTACATTAGTTTATGTAGACATCCATTATATGGAATGCTAACACTATAACAGTTCATATTGCAACTTGGTGGGTTAAATTCTCTTAATAAGCTTCTGGAAAAGATGTGGATGGGCACCCACATGACACCCATTGAAAACTGACATGTTTAAACCACTTAAACATTCTTCTAGTATCCAAACTTACAAAAAAGGAAGTGCTTTTTGTAATTTTGGCACAGTACCAGGTACAGTTTAAATTAGTTACAGTAAAGTACAACACAGATTTAACTATGAATGGAGGGGGTAGCAGGTAGCTTTCACGCTATTCTTATTTAAAAAAATGAATTGCCATAGAATAAAGTAAAGAATTTTCACAATGTAATGTCACCTCTGCAGTTGGGGGGTCTCTCCGAAAATCTAATAGGGAACACAGAGTGTAGAGCAGTGTGTGCTTTTTATTATAAATAAACAAAACATTTTCTAAAATGATCCCACTAAGAATGTAGTCTAGTGGAAAAGGGGGTGATATACAGAGTACCAACGCTTACATGGATTAGTTAGCTGGCAATTACAATACAGACATTTTGCAATCACTTGGCTAGGATTTTTTTTCTTTTGGTGAGAGAGGTGGGAATGCATGAGAAGCCAAATTATAACTGAATAATATTAGTTAGAGCTAGGATAAATATATACCAAGATCTTTACAGCAGATGACAGCCACTAATGAGAGCTGTGCTAAAATTAGTTTTGGCCTGGTGTAAAAGCATAGCGTGATTATAGCAATGTCTATGTCAATGCATGCACAGACATTTCTAGCGGTTAGACAACAGTAGATGATTTGTGGCCTTGCAGGCACAACTACAGGATTATAAAACCATTTAATGTGTTTGTGTAGCAAGGATTTAGGTGTGTGGGGAGACAAAATAACACAAACAAACCATGCAGCATGACAGCAATAAGGCAGATCCAGTACAAAATAAAATCTGTTACAGTGGACAGAAACTAAACCTGAATTAAAAAACAAAAAAAAAACCTGGTCTTAATTGTATTGCGTAAAAAAAAAAAAAAAAAAATTAAATATGTTTATTCTTGGGAAAACAACAATTACTGGAAGATGACGAGAAAGGATTTAAACACGGCCATTGAGAGGAGAGAGAGAGCGAGAAGACATCGAGATCGTCTGGATTGCAATCTATGGTTTCTGCAAACTCTGTTTAGTACAGGGGTAGCTTTAGGGTTTTTTTTTTAAACAGTAAAAACAGATGTCTAACTCTATATTTTGTTCATTTATTTATCCATGCAATAGAAACATTTCCTAAAATCAGGTATTCTGTTACAGAGTTCAGGAACATTCTTTCTTTTTGTAGACTCAAGTAAATGTATTTCATCTGTAGGCCTTTAAGGCCAGAGCTTGCACTATTGCAATGCAGACCGTTCAAGTTTCAAACTGCATACACTGGCCGTTGGGAGTCAATTGGCTACAAGGCGATACAACATCTTCAGAAGAGGCCATTTATAAATGCTGCAGCAACATAATAAAACATAATAGGAATGGGATACAAGGCTTTCCTCCCGTTTGCTCTTCTGGCCTTTCTAACATGAGATCTTCCCCCTCTTTAGATCTTTTCTTGGCATGCTGGAGAGCGCATACAGACACATACATACACACCCACCCACCAGTCACCTCTCGAGATTCTCTCATACTCTGAAAAGCGAGTTTTAAACTGAAGTGAATAGAGACTCGGCTTCGCGGGATGTTAGAAAGTTTTCCTGTGGATCGCTCTGGCACCATCTTCTTCGTATTCCTTCTTTGAAACCCACATTTTCTTGAAGGTGTCCAGAGAAGCCAAAATGGAACCACTAAAGGGGCATGAATAAACTGGGTTAAATGTTTTGGAATTGTACAATATATTAAATAAAATACAATCAGAAATGGTATTCACAAGACCATAGCAAAATGTAGGAAATTTTTGGCCTATTAGTATAAAAGGTTAAATCCTATCTAATACCCTTAAAGGACCACTATAGTGCCAGGAAAACATACCCGCCCGGCTCTGGAAAGGGGTTAAAACTTACCTTTTTCCAGCGCTGGGCGGAGAGCTCTCCTCCGTTCCGCCCCGTCGGCTGAATGCGCACTCGCGTCAAGAGCTGCGCAAGCATTCAGCCGGTCACATAGGAAAGCATTTACAATGCTTTCCTATGGACGCTGGCGTTCTCTCACTGTGAAAATCACAGTGAGAAGCACGCAAGCGCCTCTAGTGGCTGTCAATGAGACAGCCACTAGAGGCTTTGGGGGAAGGCTTAACCCATTAATAAACATAGCAGTTTCTCTGAAATGGGTTAACCCTAGAAGGACCTGGCACCCAGACCACTTCATTAAGCTGAAGTGGTCTGGGTGCCTAGAGTGGTCCTTTAACTACTGTGCTGTTAGAAGGGGCATGTATACTAAACAACAAGCAGACAGTGGCATGGGGGGACCTGTGTCAGGTCCCTTTTATTGGATTAGAGACTGGGCACCATAGCCGCCACGGTGCTAGTCCTTTTTTTGTAACAGTTTAGTAGACATGCCCCTATTCGCTGCACAGCAGGTAGGGGAAGGAGGATATAACTTTATTTATTACCAATACTAAGTATTTTTATTATTTTTTAGTATTTTATTATTTTTATTTATTATGATAGATATATATATATATATATATATATATATATATACACACACACACACACACACTGCTGTGTGTGTGCTGCATGAGGGTGGTTTGAGGGTGTTGTGTGCTTGTTGCAAAATTGTGCTTCAAACTGGTTTATTTTGCCTTCTTTTGGATCAACAGCAAAAAAAAACAAATGTGAGGTAGGCTGAACTTGATGGACGCAAGTCTCTTTTCAGCTATGTAACTATGTAACTATGTGTGTGTAAGGGTGCTGTGTGTGAGGGTGCTGTTAGTGTGATGTGTGTGTGTGAGGGTGTTTGTGTGTGTTTGTTAGGGTCCTGTTAGTGTGCTGTGTGTGTGAGGGTGTTGTTTCTGTGCTGTGTGTTTGAGGGTGCTGTATGTGTGTGTGAGCTGTATGTGTGTGGTGTATGTGTGAGGGTGTGGGTACATTACTTAATAGTTCCTGCTGCCATGCCTGGTGGTCCAGTGGAGAGTGAACTCTAGCCCCTGTGGGGCTGGAGTTCACTCTCGCAAAATATGAGCGTTGGCGCGGCCACGCTCAGAACTCGCGAAAGGAACCCGGCGGAGCTGCTGGTTGAGCTCTCTGGGTCCTCTCCTGCCTCCCTCCATGCTGCAGTGGGGAGGGAGACTGAGAGCAGAGCCGGCGCTCAGATAGCGCTGGCTCTGCATGAGCTGACAGGGGAGATCCTGAGATCTCCCCTGCCTGTCTCAATACATAGGCGTGCCATGGGGGATTAGGGTGTGCCCAGGCACACCCCTATGAAAAGGAGCCATCTACTAAACTATCCCTAATTTGGTACCCTTAAAGATGGAAATCCCACAAGGCTACCATTTTAGAGAGATATTTACTAAATGGCTGCACTGATCGGAATTCCGAATCTATAACGATGTCCAAATTTCGATTGAAAATAAATGGAAAAAAATATATTGGACATACAAAAGTTTTTAACAGAAGAAAAGCAAAGAATATCTTCTAGGATACAAAGTTTGTCAAGGGTATAAATATTGGGAGACATTGTTTTAATTTTTGTCAAACTCCTCCCAATCAGTTTGAACCTAAACCAGGAGATGGCGCCCTGACACTCTAGGCAACATTTCCACTATATTGAGTGTTTGCTAAGAGTGCCCCGTGAACTTAACAACAGAAAGCATATTGTATGACTTACCCAATCCATGTGGAATATAATCGTTCTTGTGGGGCTGATATCTAAAATAAGAGTAGAGAAAAAAAACACAAAACTTAGCTTTTCAAAGGAAATTGAAGTTACAGTATTACTTGATTAATTTCTAATTATTTTTAAATGAGAAAAAAAACAAAAAAAAAAAACACTCAGGATAAAGTTCTTATTTCTCTATGGTGTAACGCATGGAACATTCATTGCAACTAATGCCATGTACAGTGGCCGAGTACAGCATCTGAAATGGCACATGGTAACCATGCCTCACTCAACCAGTGTTTACATATTTCAAGCACAGAGATACACAATGGACAAATTGGTTCCAATAAGCCTGAATATACATTTGTTAGACTTGGTAAAAATGCATGAATGAAGTCCGTTTATAAAGAACTGGAGTTTAGCGGAGACAGAATTTGTTCTGTAAAAGGCAGTCATTAATTTAGGTGAGCACTGAACTTGGTAATTAAAAATATTTTTTTGAAATTTACTTTAAAGGTGGTACAATGTTTATCTTATTTTAGAACTTTTCTTTTTAATATTACAAGTAGAAAGTTGTCAATGAATGGGAAGTCACACATTCTGCTTCATTGCCAACAATATGAAATTATTATTAATTAGTCTAGAGGTAATTTAATTGTTATTGCCCTAGGTAAACAACAAGGAGATGCCGAAATTAACTAATTTTTCCATTCATATTTGTTGTGTTTTTTCCTGTTTTTAAATAGTACAAAGTCCAAGTCAATTGATCGGCCTTGGCCAAACCGAGCAGATGTCAACTGTTGGAGTTCACAGGTTAACTCCTTCAAAATGCAAGGTTTAAAAATCATGGTCTCAGGTTAGGAGGTAAGGACATTGTAAAACCCGAGAGGGTTATGAGATATAGATATATTTTTTAATAGGGAAGCCAGACAGAACATATGTCGACATCATCCATCGATCATTTCCCAAAATGCACGGTTTTACAGTCACTACAGTACCGGGACCTCTGAACTCAGAAACCACTGACCATGATTAATGAGAGTTACACTCAGCACAGTGTGACTGCTCTCATCCTTTTAATTTAGCTTAACATACACATACATCTCAGGCATGATTGTCTCAGTGAAACTTGGAGCTCAAAGGATCCCTAACAAGAAATAAACAAACGAACAAATACATCAATAAATAAAAAAAAATAATGTAGTATAAAAGATATATAACAGATGTGTGTATTAGGGGAAAATAATGACATCTCATGGTTCTGTAAACATAAGTCACTTCATGAATCCAGAACTCTTCAATTGCACTACTTGGTTTTCCTTTGATACATCACTGTTGTAATATGTAAGTATGCAACTTTACACAGGAGGCAGGGAATGAAAAGAGAATATTCACTTCTATTTAGTATTTAAACAATGCTGTCACTCTGACACATTAACAACATCAGCTTTAAATTTACTTTTTCACTGCTTTGGGTAACATGCCGCACCTGGAGGTTGTGTTCTAGGCCACATCTACGTTTACATTTAAGTAGCACTGGCCCTGAGCACTAGCTTTCTCCTGTGATGTCTCACTTAATGGGTGGACATGTAGTTGTAACAAATTTTGCAAATGGTTATTTTTACAAGCAAATTGACAGGGACTTCCTTGTACAATAGGTCACTACTTGGGGGGGGGTTGTTTCCAGGTGATACAGCCATTTCTGATCAACAATTACTTTGATTATCACCGAGCTCACGTTGAGCTGTAGTTCTAAAGTTGGTCACTGCTTTTCCTAATAAATGGAAACCATTTGATTACTAGTGTCCAGCTTGTGAATGGAAATCTGGGAAATATGACGTGCATGTGACAAGCTAAGCAAACATAGGGCATACATCAAAAATTATTTTAATAAAATTATAAAAAAATATATAGATCAACATACCCTTATTTTAACATCTTTCGGTGCCAACTTTTTCACTTCACTCAGAAGTCTGTCACCAAAACCTGAAAAAAATATTTATAGCTGTAAATACTAAAAAACAAACAAACACACACAAGGTGTAGTGGAAAATGCTACTTAGGATCCCAAGTAAGAAGTCAAACCACTCAAAAACAATTTGACTACTTCTAATGGGCAGGGCGGGGAGAAATCACCAGGGCACTCCTTGTGCTGCAGTAGTTATGGTGTACGGAGTGAACCTTCAAAGGCAGTCAGTAACAAGCATCCATGCTGAATAAAAGGGGCTACTACAAAAATTAGCAATTTCCTTGTCAATATCCTACAATTCCAGGTTCCTCAATAAATCTAGTCACTAAAAAGGTTTCCAACAAGCAGAAAATATATATTTAAAAAAAAAAAAAGTTAAAATGTGTTTTTTTTTTTTACAAAAAAAAAAGTTTCTGAACACGGTGATGCCTTATCCTGCAATGATAGCAGGTGTTAATAAAGATCTCGTAACACAAAATACAATTCCACCTGAGAAATACTGGTGATGTACGCAAGAAAAAAAAAAAACAGGGTTACAGACCTTTAAATAGAGTGGATCCCCCAGACAAAACAATGTTGGAAAACAGAGTTCTCCTCAGATCCATATCTGACTTTTGGATGGCAAACACCAACACTTCGTGAATTCCCTCACACTCCTCACCAATTAGATCAGGCCGAAAGAGCAACTCGGGAGCTCTAAATCGTGCAGGGCCAATCTAGAACATGAAGCAAAATAAATGAGTAGGTGCAAGGAAGAGAAAGTCTCATAACTGACAAAGATGCTTACATTGCATCAAACTGCAATTGTGTAATATCCCAACTTTATCACTAGGGGTCATAGCGGAGATACATCATAGTATCTATATTTGCTGATGACGCCCAAATAATGCTGCTAAAGGCGGAATTACAGCTCTGGCAGCAGAGGGGTTAAACGCTTTATGTGCAGCAATGCATAGCAAAACACTGCACATAAAGACTCCAGGCAGCATGACCACTTCATATCAGTGAAGCGGTTATGGTGCATGAAGGAACTCTTTAAAGCAGAACATTTTTTCAGGAGTTTTCAGCAAATAACACCACTGAATAAAACATTGAAAATCAGTTATAACTTGGGTTAACTTTTTTCATGTAATGTTCTATTTCCCTTTGAGATATTGCTATCCAGTTCAGGTATAGACAAGACACATGATGTAAATAAACAAATAGAAACATTGTGTATGTACTTTTCTAAAACTTTCCTCAAACTGGGAAGTCAGTGATTGGCTGACGTTCTTAGCCTATCACAGGGGCCCAAGACAAAATCTTCCTTACTAGTGCCGTGGTAGAAGGAGGAGACCACGCTGCACACGGGTGCTAGGACGACAACTTAGGCTTTAGACCATCTGAAAATAATTTAAAGGAACACTATAGTCACCTAAATTACTCTAGCTAAATAAAGCAGTTTTAGTGTATAGATCATCCCCCTGCAATTTCACTGCTCAATTCACTGGCATTTAGGAGTGAAATCACTTTGTTTCCGTTTATGCAGCCCTAACCACACCTCCCCTGGCTATGACTGACAGAGCCTGCATGAAAAAACAAAACTGGTTTCACTTTCAAACAGATGTAATTTACCTTAAATAATTGTATCTCAATCTCTAAATTGAACTTTAATCACATACAGGAGGATCTTGCAGGGTCTAGCAAGCTATTAACATATCAGGGGATAAGAAAATCTTAATTAAACAGAACTTGCAATAAAGAAAGCCTAAATAGGGCTCTCTTTACAGGAAGTGTTTATGGAAGGCTGTGCAAGTCACATGCAGGGAGGTGTGACTAGGGTTCATAAACAAAGGGATTTAACTCCTAAATGGCAGAGGATTGAGCAGTGAGGCTGCAGGGGCATGTTCTATACACCAAAACTGCTTCATTAAGCTAAAGTTGTTCAGGTGACTATAGTGTCCCTTTAACCCCATAAAGTAAGACTGCATCCAGGATCTACAGCCTTCATTGATATGAGGCTGTTATGGAAGCTGAACTGCTCCTTTTAAGAACCCCTACTTTAAAACGTAGTTGCATGTACAACTAAAGAAACATTGTTTTGTGTATACAATCCAGGGATTGTAAACTGCCACTCCCTTCCCAGAGTTCTTGATTTTTAATCCAAAATAGTTTCTATGTGAAATAAAGAGAGCTGCTGTATGCGTTGAGATAATGCGGTATAATTAACCACAGCAACAAGCAAACATGACTAAAATAAACTGCTGTAAAGTGTAAAGTCTGCAATGGTTTCGCAGACACACCCAAATACCAATTAATCTTGTGATCACTTGCAATTTTGTAGAATTAGCATTGTTTCATTTTATTCATATGGCAATGTGGGAAACAAGCATGTGAATTAATACATTTGTTTTTAAGAAGTAAACCCCCCCAAAAACAAAAAACCTGCTCCTAGTAAAGCAATTACGGAAGAAATGTATATTTATTTTTAAATCAGTTAAACAGAACTAATATACACAGTGTAAATATTGCTCTGCAAGTCAGATGCACACACAAGACATTTTAATTCACACCGCTTAGGTGTTTATTTAGAAAGTGCAAGAGATAAAGATCAACGGTCAGTCCTCAACTGGGACTTTTTTGAAGAAAAAGTAAAAGAGGAACAAAAAAGAAAAAAAAAAAAAAAGTGTACAAACCTCAATTGTGCTGCCATCGGGTAAATAATACTGGGCCTTCTCGGTCTCCAAAGTCTCATCTTTCTGTGGGTTTATAGACAGGTAGCATGCACGCTGTATACGCAAAGAAACAAAAAGGATAAAACGTATGTGAATAAAATTATTTTTGGATACATGTCAATTTACAGAACCACAGTGTTATTTCTAAATATCTACCTCATGGAATCTGTGATGTCTCAAGCTACATTCCTTATTTGCAAATGAGGAAAATGTATAAAGAATCTGATGTAAAATGTCAGTTAGAACACATTTCTTCTGATAAATACATAGTTTGATTGTATTCCAAGTTTCTCAGTTTGTCCTGATTTTGAATCCCTGTCCCACTACAAAACCTTTTTTTTAATCACTACTCGTAACCCGGGTTACAGCATCACTCTTTGTAACACGTGTTACAGCACGGGGAAGAGCAATGCTTGCAGACTTTAAGGTATGCAGTCCTACACGTATGAAAATGTTTGGAGCGTCCCTAAGTGGATGTAGGTAATGCTCAAAATTTTCAGCCGTTGGCACGTAACAATTTAACCCTTGCGAGTAGAAATTCACCCGTGGAGCTCATACAACGGCAAGCCACTTTTAAGGCTTGGCTAGTAGCACAGGACTTCATATTTTAAGCCCTGATATAGGTATAGTAAAATAGCACATAATTGAGGACAATATAAATTATTGATTGTTCCTCAGCTAGAATAACAAATCTATTGCAATTTACTGCGTGTATTACCAAATGTGGTCCACCACGCATATTGTCTACCTCTATTCAAAATGCATCATATGTGCTGTTTTAGGCTGAACAACATACTGTGCTTGGTGAGTCAGCCTTTCCAGTCTATTTTGGCTTCCACAGTTTCAGACAGTGGATTAGGGTTTTAGCAGTTTTGTAGTCAAGAGAGACAAGAAACTCTGGAAGCATTTTCATTAAGGTTTGATGTGACTGACTGTCATTAGCTTCACTTAAAGTAACACTAAACTAATTTTAAAGTTTACTTTATTAAAAATGAAGTTACATGATGAAGCATGATATAGCAGGAGAGTCTGCAACTACAGGCACCGTCACTGTGAACACACTCAAAGTCACTTGAAATCTCAACATCTAGGGATCACAAGCCGCTCTCCAACCAACTGGCAGCAGTTGGTAAGGAGACGATCTACATTCTATCACAAAATGAGATCCTTCTTTCCTGGAATTAGTACAAGAGAGTCATTTATATAATTCCATATAAATACACCCTAAAGGAAGCAACACGAAATGACTTGTAAGTAAGGTAGCCTGCATGGGATTACATTTTAAGGATCTCCAAAAATACTAGAAAAATGCAGGATTATTCACTACACGGTCAACGACTGAATTTTTAAAAAAAATATTTTGTCCTAAAATTTTAAATCACCCAACAAATCACAGAGTGAATGTTTCTCTCCAAGTTTAGGCATGGCTTTTTATAAAGAAAGAGCGTTTAAAAAACAAAATAAATATCCCCACCCCTAATAAAAAAAAAAAATACAAGCTGAAACAAAAAGATTAAACATGCAAAAATCCTACAAACCTCTTTGATGGTTTTGACAATTTCAAACTCTGCTGAAGTATGGAAATCGTAGCCCTCCTTTCGAAGGTAGAGGCGCAAGAAGCGGGAGACATCTCGGCCTGCGATATCAATCCTCATTATGGAATGAGGCATGGCAAAGCCTTCATAGATGGGAACTGCGTGCGTCACCCCATCACCAGCATCCAAAACAACCCCTGTTGTCCTCCCTGTTGCATAACTAAAACAAACAGAATGGAAACCCAAGATGGATTTAATCAGAGGTGTGACACAATTAAATCTATTGAGAAGCCTTTCTTGTAGCCTAGCTGTACATGTAAATACAATACAAATAGCTTTAAAGGCACACTCACAGACTAAGCACAGCTTGCATGGAAATGAACAGAGCTGGGACATTGAACGTCTCAAAGAAAACTTCTGCAGCACGTTCTCTATTCTTTCGTGGATTCAAAGGTGCTTCTGTTAACAATACAGGATGCTGTGGAAAGGAAGAAAAGTATAACTTGTAAAGAATTAAACAGCTGTAGTTACATTATTAGTAAAGTATTAAGAAAAGAGATATTGTAATCCGAAGTCGGACAGTTTGCTCGTTTTTTTAAATATTGAATTCTGCCAATTCCTCAAAATCTGCAACTTGTGCAATGACAACTACTAATAAGAGCAGGAAGTAGCAGAGTCCTCTTAACCCATTCTGGTCCTCCCATTTTCCATAGAGTTTCAATGTATCCCATGAATCTCATTTGATTTAAAGCTGCACAGTCATGCTCAGGAAAAGCACACAGTGCAAGGTTTGTACTCGTCACAGTGAAGATATCCACCATGTGGCATCAGAGAGTTGGGGGTTAGGGATATCACTCCTGTTTTAACAGAATTACTGCTAAGTGAACAAGAAGCTCCAAGCCTCATAATCGTATCGAGTAACATAAGTGGCCATGTTTTTTTTTTTATGTGTAATAATTAAAGTATATTAAATGTGCTGAATAAAAGAAAAAAAAAAAGAAAAAACACTGCACCTCTTCAGAGAAGGTTTGTAGCTGATCCTTTGAGTAGACATATTGCCAGATACGTTCCATATCGTTCCAGTCCTTTACGATTCCATGTTCCATGGGATACCGGATAGAAAGGAGACCCCTGTGCTCCTATAAGGATGCAAAACTCTAGATTTTAAAACTAACAGCATGCACCAAGCTACTCAGACACTACATCTTCTATTTAAAATATCAGTGTTAGCAAAACAATTATATTGCTGAAAAGAAAAGAATCAAATGTATTTATATTTTTTACATCTTTGTTAAAAGCTGAGAGATAGAAGTGTCTACAAGCAGTAACATGTTTTAGCACAGTATACGAAGGCTTAAAAACAAAAAGAAATCATCTTGTGGACATATAGCTTTGTAGAGAATTTTACTTGCACACACACCTCTTTCGCAATACCTAGAAAACATATTCTAGGTCTGTCTCTGAAATGGGAACAGCTCATATACACTGTTGTACTGAAACGAACCAAAGCAGTATTGAAATAAATGGTCACTTTAATCCCAACCCTGTAGCAGAAGAAACAGGTTTTTCCTAGAAGCAGTGATTTGAATTGTGTGATTTATTGTAATAATGATTCAGAATTGACATCTAATTATATATATATATATATATATATATATATATTTATTTTCACTCAATCTTTCTAAAGCTGTTGGTTTACTCTATCAAAGCATTTTCTAAGGAAGTAGTGATCACTTCTGATCCCTTGACATCAATTCTCTGCTCATCACAGATAGGAGGAACTTGAAACAAGTTAGTGTTTACAATAGAATTAACACAAAGTACACAATGTTTCACAAGCACAGGAAAAAAAATGGTTTTAGACTGCCTGCTACTTGAAATTGTTCAAGGTTACCTCTGCCTTTGGTCCAATAAATAAATCACCTTCCAGGGCACCAGCCATGACTCGAATATGCTTAGGCCTTCCAACACTTGGGGAAGAAAAAAATAAATAGACATGTTAAGGTCACAGCTCTTTAAATCCTATATACACAGTGAGTAATAGGACCTAAATTAAAAAAATTGTTGGCTTAGCTTTGCAAATACCAAAAAAAAAAATATACCACATATAAAAAATATATCAAAATATAACAAACTTCTAATATTTTTCATAGTATTGAATCAGTTTAAAAGTGTATCCAGAAAGCTTATACAACGTTAAATCGAAGCCTAAACAAGCAGACATGGTACTCACTAATTTGGAAAGCAGTACTTTGGGATCTGATCACCTGCAAATCCTGCCTTAATGACTCCAGAGCCCTAAAAATAGAAAAAGAAACCAGTTGGATCCAATTGCCCATATAATTCTTTACCTCAAAGTAAATGCAATATTACACCTGGTCGTTAAGTATTTTCTTTTCACTAACAATCCTAACTCCTACATAATATATTAAATAAGTCGCGTAAGGAGAATCAATAAGTGGGATACATATAAACATTTCTGTTACAGTATTTCAGAAGGCACTTAGTGTCTTTGTCTTTAAAGGTAAAGTTCCAAAATTTACATAATTTTACTGACAATATAGTTGCCACTAGATGAGATCTCACAGCTTATCTGGTCATCCCATTACTTTTAGTGGGACCACTGTACATATACCATAAGCCTCGGCATAGCTTTAACCTGAAAGCCTTGTGCATGACCAACGTTTGGCTTCTATTTAACTGCACAAGCAGTTTCAGAGATGTTACTCAATCAAAACACAAGAGCAAGCTTACGACACGTGAACACAGTTGTATAAAACGCCTGCAAAAGACCCATGGTAGAAACATGTGTCCCTGTTTTCTTATATATCAACTTCATTTGGAAGAATGGGTGATGTTGAGGTGCACATGGCTTCTGTATTTATTGAAGAGAAAAAAAAGGATCGAATCGTGCATGATACTCTTTAGATGCCTCCTTAAACCGTGAGATCCGGGATTGTGAGTTTCAGTGTTATTAAGGGCTCTATAATTAGTTCTGTAAATATTATAAATTCATCTCAGCAACAATCTGCTCTAATGTAAGAAAATATTCGTGACTTGCTGAATTAGTAAATTTTTTCATTCAACAAAATATAAAATCTAAAGATTTATATAGCTCACAACACTGTGCAAGCCAAATACGTAGCATATACACATCCAGAATTTATTTGAAGTACTGCAGCCTTTAAATGACATATCCTTCGTGCACTGGGGTGGCCATGTATGTAATTTGCTGTGTCTGTAGATTATCTGTGTGATCTACCCAAGGCCGCCTTTTAAGTCTAAGACTTTCCTAAATAAGGTTTAAAGAAGCAATGTTGTCCATGTTTTAGCAGAGAGATACATGGTTGCTCCAAGGACCATTTCAACCTATGCTAGCTGAACACACTAGTTTATGATGCACAGAGTAACCTGGTCCTTGAGCCTCCTCAAAGTTTGGCCTATAAATGATCTACAACAATCACTGAAGCTATAAGATGACCCCAGGGTCAGTGACATCAAATTAGGAATTTTAATTCCTCTACTGTCTTTTAAGATGCATCCAATTTGTGTATTTGCACGTTAGTATATTTTTTTTTAGATCATATGTATTTTTGGGTTTATTTTTATTAGGGTGAGAATATGCGCTATATAGGCCACTTGGATCGCAGTGAAAACTTTTGAACATAGTTTCACAGAGAGATTCAGGTTTACGCCGTACAGTTTCATTCTCAATCAACAATTACATGTTTCCGGACAGGATAGATCGTGTGGGCTGCTATAGCCAACGGAAGCAGTTGGGGAACAGAGCATTATCGCCAGCTGGGATCCGATGGTTCAGTCAAACTTCCTGTCCGGGTCCTCATCAGTTCCGGCAGTGTGGGTAGTATGTTGTATTTGTGTAATATAAGGGCTATCATCGGGTTTCAGGTAGTTGAGGTTAACAAGGTTATGTTGGGTAAAAGTGTGCATTTTTAATATAAGGCTATTAGGTAATAGTTCACCTGTTTAAAAGCAAAAATAAATTGTGTTCAATGCCTATTGAAAAAAAAATATAGTCTGTTTAAAAACCTTGAGTTACTGCTATTGCAACAAAGGCTGCCAGTATATTGCTCTCCTCAATTTGTGTCACATAGCTATATACTACAATGAAAGTGGACTTATGTTTCGGTTTTTATGTATTTAGAAGCTTTTTTTTTTTTTTTTTTTAAACCTGCCTTTTTTTAGCAATGGAAAGTGTATACATACGTGAAGTTGTCTTGGGAATGCAACTGGGGCAGTGACAAAAAGGTTCCATTTACCTATACAGGATTTATTTGCAGAAGAGTAGAGATAGATGGACCAGAACCTTTATTGTTACACAGAAAGAGATGTGTGCAGGCTGCAACCCCAGGTTGCCAAATTCACCATTTTAGACACATACTTGTATGTGCTTTTTAGTGAATGTATACGGTGCAGAAGATATATCAAGGACTCGTTTGTGATTACTTATGGATTAAATTTGAGCATTTACAACTACAAAATCCTCATAAAATACGCACATTGTGCTAGAATTTCACTGAAATTTGAAAGCAACTGAGATATCAAAGGACAGAGTAGGTAAAGTCAAGGGTGACAAAGGTTGACAGTTTCTGTCCTTCTCCAGCAGCTGTCAATAGCTTTAGTAGTTCTTTGGAGGATCTTGTGGTCTTGCAGGTACATCCATAGACCTCTGTAATGTACTCCAGAACATAAGTGACAATACTACAGTGACATAAGATGACAAATAAATTGCCAGGAATTTAAAGAAAACCCTTCGGGTTAACGGTTTAATCCATTAAGTTATAGTGTTAGTAATACCAATATGTATTCCTCATGCTATAGTGCCACGATCACTGCTGATCAGGTGACTAGGACACTGCTGCAAGTGTTAAAGAAAGTAGTTTACTTACCTTTTCCTTATATTGCCGAAGCCTTGATTTGATATTGCTGAAGATGTAATTGGATCTTAGCCAATCCAATGCTTTCTATATGAGACTATTGCGCATCAGTGGCAAAACGCCATGCTTCACCTATGTAATGGACTCCTTGTGGCCATCTGATAGAAATCGTGAAGCTTTACTCCAATATTTTAAAAAGTGCCTCTAGTGACTGTCCATATGACAGCGCTAGAGGCAGGCTAATCCCGCAATGAAAACATTGTCGTTCCTGCAGAAAGAGAATGCTTTCAGCTGCAGGAAAGAAAACAAAGTGTACATGGCACCTAGAGCACCAAGATGGAGTGCCTATAGAATTCCTTTAATCCCGAGCTAGGTACATCCTTCCACCATAGCAACATCATCAGACTTTGGAAACAATATGGAAGTGCCAATTAGGTTTCTCCCAAGACTGCTGTAATACAATCACACAGGTCCCCTCAAGGCCTGCGCACAATGTATAACGACCCTGAAAGTGAGAACGGTGCTTTACTTAAAAGGAACACTCCCGTCACCATAACAACTTTATCAACATGAAGTTGTTATGGTACCAGGAGGCGCCCGGACGCACTCTTTCCTTAAGGCGTTAAATCTTTCTCTAAACGGAGATTCAGAAGCCAGGTGCCGCCTGGGGGAGCTGCATATAGGCACATTTTGGGAACGGTTTAACCCCTTAAGGTAAGAGTGTGGCGGGGGCTTGCTGGCACCATAACAACTGAATACAGATTAACTTGTTACAGTGTCCCTTTACTATGAATTGTGCACCCTGCAGGGCAGAGCTCTTCATGTAACAGCCTACTGCAGGGCGTCACGTGACACACCCCACATAACGGTCTATCCCTTACCATCCCCATCCTTCCACACCCAGAGCAAAGCACAGCCTGACAGCTTCACCAGCCAATCACATTCTGTGTACGGCCCGTCAATCAGTGTCCGGGCCAATACCAGCACAGGGTGCGGCTCACTGATCTCATCCACGCGCACTCCATGCCCCGCCCCCAACCTGAGTGACAGGCTCGGTCGCCCAATCACATGACGCGGACGCCGTCTGGCCCGCCCTTTTGGTCCTCCTGGCGGGTGGTGACGCGGGTAGCAGGTTAGGCTGCCTCCATCCTAGCCCCGCCCACTGACCCCCCCACCGTAAATAATATTCCCGTCAGTGAGTGACGGGCGGCCGGTACACGGTGCGGGTTTAACCCGTCCCTCCCCGGGCTCCCGGAGGTCCCCCGCCTGGCCGGCCCCGGGCTGCACAGCCCGCTCTGACTGGCAGGACGGGGCGCGGTGGCCGTGACAAAGGGAGAATGAATGCGGGGGGCGGCCGGTAACGGGAGGACACGGCGCCTGCGGGAGGGGGGAGGGGGACAGGGAGCCGGTAACGGGATCCGCTACTCACATTGTCAATAACCACGGGCTGGTTGGCGATCACATCGTATGACTCCATGGCGGCTTCCTCCTCCCTGGAGCTGACTGGCCGGCTCTGACTGTCTGTGCGCATGCGCAGCTCTGGGCTAGACTGGGCGGGTGCGCATGCGCAGCTCTGGGATAGACTGGGCGGGTGCGCATGCGCAGCTCTGGGCGAACAGTGGAGGGCTCTGGGTACGCATGCGCAGTTCGGGGATAATGGGTCTGTAAAGCGGGTGGTTACGCATGCGCTGGGGGGGGGGGAATGACGGATTCAGCATGACAGCGCGTGCGCCTGCGCGCTCTCTGCCTTTTGCCGTCTGCAAGTAAGGGGATGGTGCGCGTGCTGACTCTGATGCGCTGTGCACGGAGAGTCGCCGGGCACGCGCAGTCCTTCAGCTGAGGGTTTAGCACTCAGGGTAACAGGACCTCCATTGACTGAATAGGATCGATGGGGAGCTTTATATCACCTTGCTCTATAAAGGGGCTTTTATTTTAGGAAAATGAAGAAAAAAAAAAAATCCGCCTGCACTCTTAAGTGTTTTTAAAAGGTTACTACAACCACCACAACCACTTAAAGGGTTACGCAAACCACCATGACCACTTAAAGGGTAACTCCAACCACCACGACCACTTAAAGGGTAACTCCAACCACCACGACCACTTAAAGGGTTACTCCAACCACCACGACCACTTAAAGGGTAACTCCAACCACCACGACCACTTAAAGGGTTACTCCAACCACCACGACCACTTAAAGGGTAACTCCAACCACCACGACCACTTAAAGGGTTGCGCAAACCACCACGACCACTTAAAGGGTTGCGCAAACCACCACGACCACTTAAAGGGTTACAAAAACCACCACAACCACTTAAAGGGTAACTCCAACCACCACGACCACTTAAAGGGTTGCGCAAACCACCACGACCACTTAAAGGGTTGCGCAAACCACCACGACCACATAAAGGGTAACTCTAACCACCTTGACCACTTAAAGGGTTACTCCAACCACCCTGACCACTTAAAGGGTTACAAAAACCACCATGACCACTTAAAGGGTTACGCAAACCACCATGACCACTTAAAGGGTTACGCAAACCACCATGACCACTTAAAGGGTTACGCAAACTACCATGACCACTTAAAGGGTTACAAAAACCACCATGACCACTCAAAGGGTTATGCAAACCACCATGACCACTTAAAGGGTTAAGCAAGTTACCATGACCACTTAAAGGGTTACGCAAACCACCACGACCAATTAAAGGGTTACAAAAACTACCACAACCACTTAAAGGGTTACGCAAACCACCACAACCACTTAAAGGGTAACGTAAACCACCACGACCACTTAAAGGGTAACGTAAACCACCACGACCACTTAAAGGGTTGCAAAAACCACCATGACCACTTCTGCTTTAAAATGTGGTCATGGTATTAGAAGGCTGAATGCGCAGTGTTGCAGTTTGAAACCCTGGACATTTAGTGTTATTGGCAGTTGTGTGCCATGAGCTAGTAATGCCACCAACACGTACATAATGGAAGCAATAACAAACTATCAGATTGAAACGGGAGGGGAGATTCCTATGAGAAGCCTTTTTTGGACTTCCACAGTGGAGTAAGTTAAGAAAAAGCTTCTTTTTAAAACTTTTTTTTTCCCTCTGCATTTTTTTTGGGGGGGGAGGGGATAACAACCTCTGGCAGTGTCATTCATTGGCTGACAGCGGTCAGCTGAAGTTCTCAGCCAGTGAATGGTGACTGAATTGACTTCTGGGGCTCTGCAAAAGCTGCAAGCGCATCACTCAAAAAGAGAAGAGCCTCGGAGATGACAAGGACCCGGGTAAGAGGGCAAACCATTACTAAACAGTTTGCACCATTACCGGGAAACTGGACCAGGATATTCCTAGTAACATAACTACTACAGCCTGTTTTAGTGGTTATGGTACTAGGAGTAACCCTTTAAAAGTATTCTGAAAAATATTCTACATCGGTTTCTACAAGATCCTGATCCTATAGTGATAACCAGATTATAACCAGATCCCCCTGCCTCGTTAAATAGGGTAAAATGCACCTTTATTCCAGCACTGTGTGGGTCTGCCGACACTGGCTCTGCCCGCACCCTGCGTCTTTGGCTGAGATCATCTGTGGTGTTAAACTGCAGCCCTTTATGGTGTTGAACTTCAACTGGAGCCATCAGCATTATGGGTGTGCAACCTGTGCAATCGTACAGAGCGAATACCCAGAGAAGGTTCCATAGCCTCACCATAAAATAATGCTGGGGCTGTGTTGTGGCTGTTACCAAATGACAGCTGAGATGCCCCCTCATGTATCAGATGCCCTTAACAAAAGGGTAAGCACATTTAAAGGGACTCTCCAGTACCAGGAAAACATATCCGTTTTCCTGGCACTGCAGTGCCCCTCTCCTTCCCACCCCCCCATCCCATGTTGCTGAAGGGGTTAAAAACCCCTTCAGTGATTTACCTGAATCCAGCACCGATGTCCTTCGGCGCTGGGTCAGGCTTTGCCCACGCTCCTCCCTCACTGACGTCAGCCGGCGGGGGAGACCTAATGCCCATCCGTAGCAATGGCCGCGTGCGCGCATTAGACCTCCCCATAGGAAAACATTATTCAATGCTTTCCTATGGGGATAACGGCGACGCTGGAGGTCTTCATGCATAGCGTGAGGACATCCAGCGTCGTTTAAAACACTTTTCGTGTTCTAAGAAAACAGAAGTCCCTCTAGTGGCTCTCTATCACTTAACTTAGGACTTAACCCTGCAAGGTAATTATTGCAATTTATAAAAACTGCCATAATTACACTTGCAGGGTTAAGGGTGGTGGGAGTTGCATCCAGATCACTGCAATGGGCAGAAGTGATCTGGGTGCCTGGAGTGTCCCTTTAATATGGACTTTCTATTTGCGATCAGACCAGCATTGCACAGACAGGAGATTTCAAATCTCTCTCTTCCCTAATGCAAGCCTGAATATTAAACAGCAAACCCAAATAACAAGCAAACTGAGGCTATGAAGATAGCCGCCCAACCCCCGGTAAGCTGATTCCGATTTCTCTCTCTAAATTTTATGAATTTAAACTAATAATTTAGAAAACAGAATCCCTGGATGGGAAAAAAATAGGAAGAAAGTAAATTCATTACTTAAAGACAATTACTTGATTTCAAATTAGACTTGACACTCAAAGTGAGAAAAGAAAACAAGTGTATAATCCCACTGCTTACATATAACAAGAAGGATAAATTGAATATTTGCCTAAGGTGTGGGCAAATACTCAACCATTAATTCAGTCAATTAAAAACTTGTCCCAGCAGAGGGAGCTCTAAGCTCTTAAAAATGTAAATGAAAACCAAGGTTTACAACAATGTAACTATTATTATTATTATTATTATATTTATATAGCACCAACAAATTCTGCAACGCTTTACATTGGGTTAAAACCCCTTCAGCAGCTTACCTTATTCCAGCGCCGGGCTCCCTCGGCGCTGGTGACCTCTCCTCCCCCGCCGACGTCAGCGGAGCCGAATGCGCATGCATAATATGCCTCCAGCGTTGCAGATGCGCCTCTAATGGCTGTCTGGAATATGAAAATGTTTTGCTAAGATCACTAATCCATTGGAATAATGATGTCGACTCACAGCATATACTTACACAATTCATTGTAATAAATGTTGTACAGAAACAGGGCACACGCTTCATTGTCTACATATCTTAGGATCTTTTACTCAAACGCATCACGTCCAGTTATTTTGTTCCCCATGGACAGACATTCGGGAAAAGGTTTACACATTCTGTCCCTTTGCAGAACTCTTGGGACAATGAGATATCAAAGGACCACTATAGTGCCAGGAAAACAAACTTGTTTTCCTGGCTCTATAGGGTCTTTGGGTGCCCCCTACCCTCAGGGTCCCCCTCCCGCTGGGCTCAAGAGGGGTTAAGGGGTTAACCGCTTACCTTTCTTCAGCGCCGGGCTCCCTCGGTGCTGGGGACTCTCCTCCCTCTTTTGACGTCATCCGCACGCGCATTGAAGCAGTCCATAGGAAAGCATTTCTCAATGCTTTCCTATGGACGTTAGCGTATTCTCACTGTGAAAATCACAGTGGGAAGCGGGGAATGAGACAGCCACTAGAGGCTGGCTTAACCCGAAATGTAAACATAGCAGTTTCTCTGAAACTGCTATGTTTGCATCTGAAGGGTTAAAACCAGAGGGACCTGGCACCCAGACCACTTCATTGAGCTGAAGTGGTTTGGGTGACTATAGTGTGCCTTTAACTATTTTCTTCTAATCCCCGCACAGCCAGAGCACTCAGCACTGGTTACCAATTAAAGGAACACTAAAGGCACCCAAACCATTTTATCTCAATGAAGTGGTCTGTTTGCAGTAGCCCTTTAGTTTTAACCTTGCAACGTAAAACATTGCCATTTTGTATAAACTGCAACGTAAAACATTGCAGGGTTCAACTCACCTCTAGTGGCTGTCTTCCTGACATGTATAATTTGGGCAGTGGAGTTTTCCTTTAAATATCCTTCTGGTGCCTAAAAAACACTCATCCTCTTATCTGTGACACATCCCATCTCACCTCCTAGCAGGTCTTAGCCCATTCTCTTAATAAGGCAGAGTGCTGATAAAGTTAAATAACCTTAATGATATCACACAAAACTACTAACATACAAATACTGACAAACTGCACAAACACACACCAACATATAAACACATACTAACACTGTGTGCACACACACACCAAAGCACAACAACATATAAAAATACATACTAACATTACAGACACATATCAGTATATAAATATAGATACCGGCATTGGACACACACCCCAGTATATAAATATACATACTGGTATTGCACACATACACACCAACATGACATTGAACACACCCTAAGTCTAACATAAGTGAGTTCCGTATATGAATCCTAATGTTAAATATGTGCATATTGGGCATCTGCCATCAGTAGGCATGCTCCAGTGAGAGGAAGTGGCGTCACTGGAGAAGGATGCAGGGAGAAACTGGCATCAACAAGGAATTACAGGTAGGGTTTCTATAACCGCAAATTGTATTTTATTAAAACACTGTTTTCAGTTGGAGTAACCCTTTAAAAGAACTTTCCAAACCCAAAAGCACTTTGGTTTGCGGAGTCCCTTAAAGGGTTAACAGCATGTCCACATTGGCTTAGTTTTATGGGAAATCAGAAGTTTGGTATCACTTCCTGGCTGTCAACCAACCCGCTGTGAAGGTTGCCTTCCTTAGCTCTCAGTGGAAGGGAAGGCTTCTCATATTTCTCCCCTATTCATTTCATGGTCTTTGTCGCACATGTATGAGAAGCATTAGATTGGCCAGGAGATCCTAACCCCCCCAAAAATTAAAGGACCACTATAGTGCCAGGAAAACAAACTCGTTTTCCTGGCACTATAGTGCCCTGAGGGTGCCCTCACCCTCAGGGTCCCACTCCCGCCGGGCTGAAGGGGGTTAAACACTCACCTTTCTCCAGCGCCGGGCTCTCTCCTCCTCCTTCGGTCGTCATTGGCTGAATGCGCATGCGCAGCAAGAGCCGCACGCGTGTTCAGCCAGTCTATAGGAAAGCATTCTCAATGCTTTCCTATGGAAGCTGGCGTCATCTCACTGTGAAAATCACAGGGGGAAGCGCCTCTAGCGGCTGTCAGTGAGATAGCCACTAGAGGCTGGATTAACCGTCAGTGTAAACATAGCAGTTTCTCTGAAACTGTTTACAGCAGGCAGGGTTAACCCTCGATGGACCTGGCACCCAGACCACTTTATTGAGCTGAAGTGGTCTGAATGCCTATAGTGGTCCTTTAAATGGGAGTCCATTAAAAATGAATTCACATACTATGAGGCCAGTCTATAATGCTTGACAGCAGCCTGTTAGGATTCCTGTTAGTCTGAAGCCTAAATTGCTATTTGAATTATCCCCTTACCCAAGCAGCTCTGGAAACCAATTCACACCCACCATTAAAATGGCGGCTACACACTGAGCAGGCGACAAGTTTCACCATCAGGTGAACACCTCTCCATGGACTCCTTTGCGGTGATTGGCTATCTTTTATCCAATCCGTAAAAAGAAAGAGTGGGCGGGGAAACCAGCCAAGACTCACCTAGCGAGAGCAGCCAGTGATTGGCAGGAGGCTCGGCCAATCCGCTGCGTTGCCCACCCAGGACCACCATCAGCGCTGCTGTGGGAGCAGTCGGTGTCCTTGTTCTCGCAGTGCTGCCTGCCTGGCTGCGGTGTGCTCGGCCGTGGTGGGGCTCCCCGGAGAAGGTTCGCTCGCTGACAGACGCCGTGTCTCTGGCTGAGAAGGGGATGGAGGAGCTGAGGCCTAGCGGCGGCCCTGCGCCCCAGCCTTTCCCAGCACTCTTCCCCCCAGGCCTGCATGCCATATACGGCGAGTGCCGGAGGCTGTACCCGGAGCAGCCCAATCCCCTGCAAGTCACAGCTATAGTGAAATACTGGTAAGGGGGCCGGGCCTGGGCATCCACTAACTCCCCCCAAACTGGGCATCCACTAACTCCCCCACCACCCCCCAAACTGGGCATCCACTAACCCCCACCACCCCCAAACTGGGCATCCACTAAACTGCCCCCAAACTGGGCATCCACTAACTCACCCCACCACCCCCAAACTGGGCATCCACTAACTCCCCAAACTGGGTGTCCCACCAACTCCCCCACCCCCCAAACTGGGCATCCACTAGCTTCCCCCACCACCCCAAACTATCCACTACCCCCACCACCCCAAACTGAGCTCCACTAACTACCCCCACCACCCCCAAACTGGGCATCCACTAACCCCCCCACCACCCCAAACTGGGCATCCACTAACTCCCCAACAGCCCCAAACTGGGCATCCTTCACTCCCCCCACCACCCCCAAACTGGGTATCCACTAACTCCCCCACCCCCCAGCATCCCACCCCCCCAAACTGGGCATCCACTAACAAGCCCCCAAACTGGGCATCCACTAACGCCCCCCAAACTGGGCATCCACTAACCCCCCAAACTGGGCATCCTAACCCCCCAAACTGGGCCACTAACCCCCAAACTGGGCATCCACTAACCCCCAACTGGGCATCCACTAAACCCCAAACTGGGCATCCACTAACCCCCAAACTGCATCCACTAACCCCCAAACTGGGCATCCACTAACCCCCCAAACTGGGCATCCACTAACCCCCAAACTGGGCATCCACTAACTCCCACCACCACCCCCAAACTAGGCATCCACTAACTCCCACCACCACCCCCAAACTGGGCATAACCCCACCACCCCCAAACACTAACCCCACCACCCCAAACTGGGCATCCACTAACCCCCCCACCCCCAAACTGGGCATCCACTAACCCCACCGGCCCCAAACTGGGCATCCACTAACCCCAGCCCCAAACTGGGCATCCACTAACCCCACACGCCCCAAACTGGGCATCCCACTAACCCCCCCCCACAAGCCCCCAAACTAACCCCCCCACATCCACCAAACCCCACCCCCCGCCCCCAAACTGGGCATCCACTAACCCCCACCGCCCCAAACTGGGCATCCACTAACCCCCGCCCCCAAACTGGGCATCCACTAACCCCCCAGCCCCCAAACTGGGCATCCACTAACCCCCCCACCGCCCCCCACAGGCATCCACTGCCCCAACCCCCCCCAGCCCCCAAACTGGGCATCCACTAACCCCCCACAGCCCCCCCAAACTGGGCATCCACTAACTCCACCTCCCGCCCCAAACTGGGCATCCACTAACTCCCCACAAACTGGGCATCCACTAACTCCTCCCCACCCCCCAAACTGGGCATCTACTAACTCCCCCAAACTGGGCATCTACTAACTCCCCCAAACTGGGCATCTACTAACTCCCCCAAACTGGGCATCTACTAACTCCCCCAAACTGGGCATCCACTAACTCCCCCAAACTGGGCATCCACTAACTCCCCCAAACTGGGCATCCACTAACTCCCCCAAACTGGGCATCCACTAACTCCCCTCCCCCACCCCCAAACTGGACATCCACTTTCAATCTAGGAAGTAGTTTTTTGTTTTTTTTTACACTGACAACATGCAGTGTTTTGTATACTTGCTGATATTACACGTACAGTATCGGCACTTTTCCTTATATTAAACACCTGGGTGCTCTCCTTCACTGATATATAAATTTGTGAATGAAATAGGTGCACTCTCAGTACTTTGAGCCAAATGTCTCTTTCATAAATTTCAGAGTGCGAGAGAGATGGATAAAGTGGTATCTATGTGTGTGTTCAAGTAGAGATTGTAGCCGTATTAGTCCAGTGATGTATATGTAAAACATACCTTTTTTATTGGACTAACAGAATTTTTTAATGAAAGATATTTAGTACCCTCTGCAAAAATGGTGTCTATTTTCTAACAAACCTGTGTCTTATCTACACTCATGTTGCTTTAACCCCTGTATCACAACTCAACTTTGAATTCTATTTGTCTTCTTGCACAGAAATGCTTCAGACTTGAGAAAGGGAGGTTCTCCCGAAAGCTTGTCATTAAAAAATTCTGTTAGTCCAATAAAAAAGGTATTACAAGACACTAATTTTATCTGGTTTTTATATATATATAATATTTTTTTATTTTTTGTGTGGTGTTTGTTCTGTGTGTGCTGTTAGTGATGACGCCAAATACGTCCATGCGTGTATAACTTCAGATGAAAAGGCTTTTGCTTGGCTGTATTGGTAGACAGGGATTTTTGTTGAACCAAATATTGATAGCCATGATCTTCTGTTTATATAAAGTGTAGATTCAGAGATAAGGTGAGTAATGCTTGGTTAAGAAACTGTGGGATAAATGTTATGCAGTTTCCTGTAGCGCCTGTCAGCTGTATCTATAAACAGGCAACATAAACACAGGACTCAACTACTAATAGTCAGTGGAAAATAATTAGCCATTGTATTTGCATCTGCCAACTTTTTGTTAGGGAGGGGTTTGATTTGCTCTTATTGCTGAATTTAGGGCAGTCCCTTTAATCAACTTCAATTAGTACATTTATTTTAATTTTATATATTCTTTTAATAAACATTTTACTAAAGGGTCACTCCAGACACCAAAAGCATTTCAGTTTGCTGAAGTGCTTTACATATAAATAGTGTGCATTTTTATTTATTTTTTTTGGTTACAAAAACTG